AGGCTGTTAACCTTATAACTAGTTATCTATATTAGAACTTTACTATATACTATAGTTAAGTATAGCTATATTTTAGTAAGGCTATAGACTCTATAAATAGTTATTTATATATATACTACTTTAACTATAACCTTACACTTTAATACCTATTAGCTAAAGAAACTATTAGAATAAAATACTTACTTAACTATCTAAACTTAAGGAGCTATAAGTCTACTATTATTTCTATATACTTATACCTATTAATGCTTCTTAATTAGTCTACTCTACTTAGTAAGAAAAGAACTTATAATTCTTTTTCTTTATATTCTACTTTAGACTTTAAGAAAGAGCTTATATAGCTAGTTATTAATAGTAATTTATTCTTCTAAATAATTAAATAGCTATTATTTAATTACTTTATTTAATTTCTGTAACTAGAAGCTGTAATAATTAGCTGTTATAAATTCTAGTATAACTTTTATAATTAATACTATAAAGTAAGAATATCTATTCTTTATAATCTTAGTATAATAACTAAAATCTTAATTATATTAAATAGGTAGTTTATAAGTAATTACCTTAGTTTTCTAGCTATTAAAGGGTACTATATTAATACTAATTAGAAACTTTAAGAGAAGCTACTAGATTTTATTCTAATATATAGTAAGTATACTAGTATTTCTATAGTAGAAGAGGTAGGTAAAGTACTTTCTAAAACTAGTACTAAGTATAAGCTTCTTACTATTACCTATAATAATACTAGTAATAATACTACGCTTACTTAGGTAGTTAAAGTAAACTTATAAAATAATAAAATTACTTAGAGCTTATAAGAAAATACTATTTTATACTTTACCTATATTATTAACCTTATTATCTAGAATATTATCTAGTATCTAAAACTAGCTACTTCTACTAAGGTTATTAGTACTCTATAAAGGCGCTATATTTAGGATATTAAAGTATAGATATTAGTTCTAAACTTACTTTATAAGGAATATACTCTTTTATTATATATATTAATTATATACTAATTAACTACTAGCTTAAAGCTATTTATATTATAATTAATATTTTACTATAGTATTATAAGTACTTTATATTAATACAGCTATACTTTCTAGTAAAAGATTAGCTATCTATTATTTATAATATAAAGATAAGATAGAATTCTACCTATAATATATATAAGTATATAATTAAGCTATAGAGATATATTAATAAATAGCTAAAGTAAGAGATTATCTTTAAGGCTAGTATAGGTACTTATACTAGTAATATTTTAGCTAAAAATAATACTAGTAAGGTAGACTTTTATAATCTAAAATACCTTTAACTATCTTCTATTAAGTAGTATTACCTTAAGCTAATAATAGAGATACTTAAGTAATTTAAAGATATAACTACGTCGGCAAAAGAGGAGTTTCGATTTGCCGGGCGTACCGGCCGAGATCCAGGCTGGCTTTTCATTACGAGTTAGGCGCCTCCCTGCTACCCCTGTCTTTCCTGTCAGCTGACTATCGTAGTACTAGTGGCTGCCAAGGGTCGGGAGCGTTGGGAGCGGCGGGGGACCGTCGGGAGCGGTGGGAGACTGGTAGGCAGCCTTTGGTCTCGTGAAGGAGCTTAACGGTGGAAAATTTAGCGGGCCGACGCCAGGAAGGCCCTGCCTGGCACTGCCTGTTAAACTCCTCTTTTGCTGACGTAGCTTCTTAAGTAAGAACTAGAAGCTATAGATTTAGTATATATAACTTATATATAATTAACTATTTAACTTTTTAAACTAGATAATAGAAGACCTTAATAAGGATATTATAAATTAAAAGAATACTAATTAGCTAGCTATAGTATAAGCTATAGCTAGAAAAGGTTAGGTAAAATTAAGTAAGTACTACTTAAAAACTAATATAAAGTATAGGTTCTTATTTAACTATGTAATAATCCTTAACCTAACTTAGAAACTTATAATATATAAGGTCTATTTATTATAGTTACTTATTATAGCTATATACTAACTAAGTACGTAGAATAAATTATAGGATTCTTAAAATAAATATATATATTATATATAATTTCTTAATTACCTTAGCTGCTATAACTAAAAGGAGTAAAGTAAATCTATACTAGGCTTAACTCTTTATCTATAAAAATAATAAAGTAGTAAATAGTTTTAGAAGCTTTCTACTTTTTTATTATAACTAAGTAGTTTTTTTACCTTAAGTTAGAGTTCTTAAACTTAAGAAGCTAATAATCTTAATAGCTAAACTATTTAAGAAGGGGAAGCCTACCTTAGTACTATGTATATAATAGGTAATAGCTCCTTTAATATTTTAAAGTAGTAAAAGGCTAATAAAGGTATATATTCTTAACTAGCCTAGGTTATAAAGAATATATTAGTAATACTAATTACCTAAGTTAGTATTAAGTACGTTTTTAATATTACTAAGGATATAATTAGTAATTAAAGGTATTACTTATCTAGTTAAATAATTTAGTAAATTATAATTCTTAAGAATTTAATTTCTTAAGAGGTAAACTAGCTAATAAACCTTTTAAATAGGGATATAGGTATATATAAGGCTTCTTATAATAAGGCTAATAATCTATTAGATCTTCTAGCTCTAATAGAGTAGATAGGTAACCTATATAAAGTTATTATTAAAAAGAAGAATATTAAATAAGAGAAGGATATAGAGGGCTTATTAATATATCTAGTATATAAGCGTATCTACTCTGCCTATTACTATAATTAATAGCTATAATTAAATAGTTTAAATAATATTTTTATATTTTCTATATAATACTAACCTATATTATTATTATAATATATATATATCTTTATATAATATATATATATATTTTTATAGGTAACCTATGTAGGTACCTTCTACCTAACTCTAACCTAAGCTTTAACTACCTCTACCTAACTCTAACTTTAAGCTTTAACTACTCTAACCTAACTTTAACTTAAAGCTTTAACTACTTCTACTTAACTATAACTCTAAGCTTAGACTACCCTAACCTAACTCTAACCTAGAGTCTATACAACTCTAACCTAACCCTAACCTGTTATTAGGTACCCTGAACCTATTTACTAGCGTAGTTATCCTAATAGAGTATTATTTCTAGCCTAATCTACTCTATATTATTATAAAACTTACTAAGTTTTATAATAATAATCTCTTATTAGTACTACTACTAATTAATTAAGGTTATAGTAGAGTTATAATAGAGCGTAGAGATTAAGCCTTAAGGCTTATACTAGTTCTTAAATAGAGAGAGCTTTCTATAGCAGTGTAGAAGCGTAAGAGTAAGGAGCTTCTTATAAGCTTTAAAGATTTTATATATAATTAGCTCTAGTTTCTAATTAATTTAAGTAAGCTAAGCTTTAGCCTAGTGCCTCTATTTTACTAGCTTAGTTTCCTAAATATAATAAGGTTCCTTATAGCTGTAGCAGAAATAAGCCTATATTATAAACTCTATATACTGCTTATACTTACATTAAACTACCTCTTTTTTAAACTTACTATTAGCTTAATAAGTTACTTAAGTCCTACTATAGTGCTTACTAACGTAGACAGTAATCTTATTACTTACTATTACCTAATTCTAGAAGCCCTCTACCTTATAGTAAGTATAGAGGTAATAGAAATTATTATAATTATAGAGATTCTTTATAATAAGAAGAGGCTTATATATTAGCTAATAGCGCTTATAGCTATCTTTATAGAAAGCTTTATTAATAGTACTAACGCTAACGTTGTTATTACTAGTCTCTTAAGCTATATCTATCTACTTCTTCTTAGTATTCTCCTTGCTTAAAGTAGTATACTCTTATATCTCTACTTTAGCAGCTTCTAATAGAATAGATAGCTAGCTAGAGGCGTAGGAGATCTTAAAAGTAGCAGGATCCTAATAGAGCTTAGAATCCTAGGTAAAACTATGCTTACAGCAGTACTAGTAAGCCTTCTAGATATAATTAATAGTAGTAGAAACTATTTTATACCTAGCTACGTAAGTAGCAGCTTAGTATCCTATACTAGAGTTAGAAAACGTAATAAGGGTAGTATGTTTAGAAGCTAGAATAGCTTTAGATCTTAGAGTTTTAACTATAATTTATAAAAAAATAAGGTTTATATAGGTATAATCTATTTTAAAAGAATCGCTATTGTGTGTATAGGCGTAGGCAACATTACTATAAACAATCTAGTTTGCTATATCTATTTTTAGGTACTTAAAACAAAGAAAAAAAGATCGGAGTAATAGGTAGTTGTCTAGGAAGACTGATCCATTTAATTCTGACATGACTGGATCGAGCCTCCCAAAAAAACAGGAATCAAGTAATAACAAAGGCTTCTCTAAGTCGCAATAGCACCTATGCTGGACTCAAGCGGGGCTTTTAGAACACATGACCCCACACGGTTTGTGGGGTCGATCTGTCGATTACAGGTCCAGGTTTTTTTATCCCTTTCTTGTCCCTTACCAATCTCGTGGCCATCCTGGGTTGAGTTCCGCTTTGCCCCACCGCACTCTTGTCTTTCATTTTGGTAGCCTTCACTTCAAGAAGGGCTTCGGTTCACTCTTTTCTAGTCGGTTGAACAGCTTTGTCAACGTCGACGCATCGGCAAATGAATCTCAGCATATATTGATGGTCAATTACACCACTATCTTGCTTGTGGATTGATTGTGTTCTTTTGCAAGCTCGATGCAGTAGTTTTGGTATGCAGACTAAGGGATAAGCCTCTCTTTACCCGCTTTGGCGTTTGCGCCTCCTTGAACCATGAAGAGTGGGGAGTGGAGGCGCAGCAAGGGTGGGGTTGATGTAGGTATCTACCCCGCTTTCGTCATGAGCACTACATTCATCTATGATGCGATTTAACGTAGCAATTGCGTTGCTTGAAGTCAAGACTTACAGCGTTTTTGAACATCCATCTCGTTTGAGCGACCGTTTTGTGTACAGTTGATATTGTCCAGGACCGAAGAACACATAGTCGCCTACCAAAAACTGAGACATAGCGAACATGGGCAAAGATCATCCTGATGCGGATTTATATCCCACGGCTACAGCTCTTGCTGCAAAGACTGTCGATGTAAGATGCACTATTACAATGGCCTGATCCTGCCAACATGACGATACTGACTCCCAAAGGCTCACAAGGCGGAACAATCACTGAAGCTCTACTCTGGCTGGTTTTGCCCATTTGTTCAACGCATCTGGATTGCTCTCGAGGAGAAGGGGATACCCTATCAATACATCGAAGTGAATCCCTATCACAAGCCACAGTCACTGCTCGACCTGAATCCTCGCGGCCTCGTCCCCACTTTACAATACGATAACAAGCCTCTCTATGAGAGTACTGTGTTGTGTGAGTTTATCGAGGACGCTTTTCCAGACCATACACCCCATCTGCTACCCAAGGACCCGTACGACAGAGCTAGAACGCGGATCTGGACAGATTATGTCGGAAGCCGAATTATCCCAGCATACCACCGCTTCTTGCAGCACCAAGGGGATGACGGTCTGAAAGAGAAACAGCAGGAATTCCTTAACCACCTCAAAGAGTTCACAAAAGAGATGGATTCAGAAGGTCCGTACTTCATGGGCAAAGAGTTCAGTCTCATTGATATTGTCATCGCTCCGTGGGCCAATCGACTTTGGGTTTTTGATCACTTCAAGGGCGGCTCAGGACTACCAGAAGAAGGCAAGGGAGGCGATGATGAGGAGACTTGGGTGAGGTGGAGGAAGTGGCTGAAGGCGGTGGAGGACAGGAAGAGCGTTAAAGAGACGCTGAGTGAGAGGGAGCATTACTTGCCGATCTATCAGCGGTATGCAGAGGACAGGGCGCAGAGTGAGGCAGCGAAAGCTATTCGGGCTGGGAGAGGCATGCCTTAGATGGATCGTTGGCAGTGTATATGACTTTGTGAGTAATAATACAAGTCTGTAGGAGAGCATACACGCAGCTCCAGATGGCGAAGGCATGAGACATTTACCAATCTTCAGAATCGCGAGTTTCTAGTTTGCAAAGTAGGTACACGCCGCCGGCCTCCCGTATGAATTTGGAATCAAACCACCAATTGATAAAGATTGCCTAGGTGCCATGGAGATTGCCAATAGTAGTTACTGTTAGCGCGAGAAGCACGTCCTCTATGGCTGTAACATACCTAGTGGTAATAATAGACTACGTCATAAATACCTCCGCACCTTGCGGAGTCCGGTACATAGCTTCCTATAAACGACTGCCGAGCGACATTTTGAGTACTCACTTCACTCTCAATTGCAAGAATTAACGAATATGCTTGGCAAAACTTTACTGAGTGTTGGCGCGCTGCTCGCGGTTGGAAGTGCGGATGTTGCACCTGGTTTCCCCATCCCGGCTTCGGCGCAACTCAGTGTATCGTATGGCAATAATACGGTTTCTCCCCCTGGGGAACTGATTCCTCGTCCTGGTATGTATTGGAAGGTTTTACTGTTTCCGTTGTGCTTTGAGATGACTCCGCAAAATGATCGTGTAGAGGGCAACTACGAAGCGCGTCCTCATCCCCATACATTTGAACTTCTGGGTCTGAAGTGTAATGTACTGGCGATCTGGTCGCGCAAGTACAAACACAAAATACACCGTTCTTCGTGATAGACGACGACAAACCAACATCCCAATTACCATCCATCTAACACGTCCTCCAGAAACCGCAAACCCCCCATCCATCAGCACCCCCTCCTGGTCCTCATCCCCCGGCGTCCTCTTAATGGTCGACCTCGACGTCCCCCTCAACGGCACCCGCGTCCAACTCCTACACTGGCTCGCGACAAACGTAACCCTCGCCAACCCCTTGTCCTCGACGTCCCCACGCGCTCTCACTATCCCCAACGGCCCCGTCCCCTATCTGCAGCCCTCCCCTCCCGTGGGCGATAGCCCTCACGATTACACATGGATTCTGTTCCCACAGCCAGTCGATTTCTCTATCCCCGCAAAGTACAGCAATCTGACCAACGCGCGCGTGCCGTTCAATGTGAGCCAGTTTGTCGCCGATGTTGGCCTCGGAACCGCGCTTGCGGGGAACTGGATCATGGTGCAGAATCTCACTGGGAGCGCCACGACGTCGTATCCGCCTGCGAGAACAACTGTAATGGGAAGTTCGACGGGGACCGCGACCGGGAGTATGGCGACGACTACGAGCCCGGCGAATGCTACGGCTCCAGTTGAGTTTCCGGGCGCTGCTGTGCAGGTGCTAGGCGGTAGCGTCATGTGGGTTGGCGTGGCGACTGCGATGTTGGCTGGATTTGCTGCTGTTGTTTTGTAAGCCTGATATTCAGAATTTACAACTGAATCAGCTATTGCTACACAGGTATTCAGCATTAAGACCACTTCTCGTAGAGCTCGAACAATTCTCTCGATTCAACACAGATCACTCCAGAAGTGATGCAGACAAGCAGATAACATGGACGGTCGGACTTGAAAATGAATACGCGCGTAGGTTCATCTTTTATCTGGTAGTGCAGTCGTAGTTACAACACCTGTTCACAATCGCTGTGCTCTTCGTCTCATTCTATCCCTACAAATACCTCTTACTGCCGATATGGAGCCTTTACGCTGCCACTGGTGAATGTCGCTTTTGTTTTGCCATCCATAGCCTTGAGTCTCTGCTTGCTCGTGATGCCTGTCCTATCTGTTGTCGGCTGCGCAGCCATGAAGCTATCAAACTCGTCATCCTCCGGTGCATCGCTGCCATCCTCGTTCTCATCCTCATCTTGCGCAGGCGCAGGCTCCGTTCTGGGTATACGTTGAGGAACTTTCTTATCGCCACTCTCGTCGTCTTCATCTTCGTCTTCGTCTTCGTCCTTGGGCATAGGCGTCGGATTCTGGAAAGGTTTCGAGGCCAGAACGCGTCTCCTCAGCTCCGCCATCTCCTCCTCGTCGTCCGAAGATTCGGGGATATTGTAAGGGTTCTGCGGATCCACCTTGTCCTCTTCTTCATCCTCTTCATCGTTATCGTCGTCATTCTCGTCCTCATCCGATTCGTCAATAATTCGTCTGTTCATATTCCCCCCTGCCCAGTCATCCTCTTCAGCACCACCCTCCTTCTCCTCCCGACTCTCATTGTACTCTTTCTCAATCTTCTCCAGCCAAACCTCCTCGGCCTTCTTGATCTGCTCCTCATTCTCACACGCCGCATACCTCTTCAGCAGCGCAGCGTTGATATCCAAGAACGCCCGACCATACGAAAAAGTACTCAGAATGCTCTCCGCCCACTCATCGTGTCCACAGATATAATAGCAAGCAGCCAGTGCCTCGACACAGTTCAAACGCCACGGTTTGCCGTAATTGGTCGGATTCGCAGCAACGAGGTATGGCAGCAGACGTTCGCATTTCCCGCCGATTCGGCCAAAGGGCACTTCGTCGATACGCTTCCAACTCGCCTCCACGACCGCAGCGCCATACTGCTCCATCAACTCCTTGTCCTCGCGGCTCAGGATCTTCCTCGCCTTGGGCGAAACAACGACGCCGGCGAACTTCTGCCCGACGTGTAGTTCCCGCATCATGCCGAGGCGCATGAGCCGTTTTCCTGAACAGCGCTTCGCATCGCAGTGTCCGAGGTCCCAGCAAGCAGCCTTGTATGCGGGTTTCGCGGGTCTGGAGTTCGACCCGTCATCCTCGCCTTCAGATTCGGAGTCGCGGCGAGGACGAGGTGGACCGCGGGCTTTGGGCGCTTTGTTGGAGTATTTGTTGTTGGGCTTGAAGTCTTTCTTGTGGCGGACCATGCTGGGCGGTTGTGAAGTTGTTGTAGAGAAATGCGTTTGATGTGAACAGTGATGTGGGGTTCTAGTTGAGGCGTTGGAGGGGCAAAAAACAATTACTTCATGATTCGATGATGTTATCGATAACGCGGTAGCACGTGGACTATGCCTCTACATCTCGATCTTCTTTTATATTTTGGACGATCTTGAACTCATCGGTCACGTCACACAGCGACGCAGTCTCCAACCTACAGGCACTCTCGCGGTCCAAATCACGTCGCTAAGAATGCATCGAAAACTCAGCCCGCAAAGTTGCTCGACTGCCAACTTTTTACATCGAGATTCTACGACACACCTAAGCTTGGGATCTCGCCCATCTCGTTCTTTTGCTGACCACCAAGAGAGTACGATGCTCTCCACCTCATCTTTACGCTCGCACCTGATCCTCTTTGAACGTTGTTTACACGGATATTCTGCGTGATTCCGCTCTTTTGATTTGGCCCAAGTGTGACACCAGATTGTGGCTCCAGCTGAAGTTGGGCGCCCTGTATCTCGTTAGACGGTTTAAACCAATACTGCATCGATGTGATCTACTTACTTTGGATGCAGCTACCTGCAATGTCAGACCAGAGATTGGCAGCGGTGTGTTGTTCGATATTCGGGATTGGATCAAGAGAGCAGTGTCCGATTCTCGCACGATGCTGAAGATCACGTTGATATTAGTGTTGGTGACTGTGATCTCCTTGGTTGTATCAGGAACAGAAGATGCAAAGTTCCACTCATCATCATCGTTAGCAATGCTGTCGCGACCTGGCGCTGGATTAGACGCGGGTGCAGGAGGACCACCGCCCAACAGATCGACAACAGCTGACCCGGTCGGCGGCGGTTTGACTGATTGATGAAATTGGAATGGTGAGCCCTGTCGAGGCGTTGCTGACAAAGCGGCGAAAGGATCCGGTGTGCGAGCTGCTTTAATTGGGGGCTGTGCTGATCGAGGCGATGTGATCGGGGGTGGGGCCTGGGTTGGGGTTGTGAAGAGGTCGTTAATTGATTGGGCGGATAACTTTTGCTGAGCTTGTGATTGTGGAACAGGCACACCAGACAAACCAAGGACTGGTCTAAATCAGTATGTGCTATTGCGAGTGGTGCTTTGGGGGTTCTTACCTGAGCCATTTGAACCGCCTAGTGATATACTACCAGACTGACCATAGGTGTCTCCACTCAGAGACAGCCCTAATAAATCATCTTCTAGAGCATTGCCCTTGGCAGCTGGCTGTTGAGATGCTTCGGACGACTGTGGTGCGGGCGGTGCGGGCTCTGGGTCTCCAAAATCGATAAGATTTAGTGTATTGTTCGGGCCCTGCGACACTCCAGCGCCGCTGCGTCCAAGCGTACCCTGAGGTATCTTGTTCGCCCCATCAATATCTCCCTTCTTAAACAGTTTGTATCTTTCTATTGTCCGATGTATACTGTCGTTAATTTCGAAAAGCTTCGCCACTGCTTCGTGATCCTCGGAGTCCTCCTCACACATCTTTTGGATCTTTGGCTGGGCACTCGCAAGCGCATTGGCAAGTTCCTTCGGCATAGTCAGCCCACCATCACCTGGGTTGAGTTCCAGTTGGTCATACCTCAAACACGTCTCCCTCTTTGATAGTGTCTCCTGGTTTATAACCATGCAACATCTCCTCAAGGATCCTCGCCTTTTGCTGGATTCGGCCAACTTCCTCAGCAGCCTTTGCGCGCCAATCTGTCTTGTTTCTTGTATCGTAACCGGCCATGACTTTCATGAGCTTGTTTGCCTCTTGCAAGTCGGCGGGACCTCCACGACGGATCAGTTCCTGGAGTTTGGCCGACTGTGCCTCTTTCTCCTCCTCTTCCATCTCCTCTGCTGACCTGAGGTTCTAAGTGCTGTCAGCGCAACATACTATGTGTCCAGCCCTCATCAAACGTACATCGCTTGGGTTCAGCACAGCCGCATCTTCCTTCCTTACTTCCGGGAATATGTAGCCCTTATAGCTCAACAGCCTGTGCATATCCCGTACGAAGCCGAGATCGGCCTTGTATCGCGACGTCTGGCAGATTGTTTGGCGCCATTCTTCTATCAGCTCGAGGATCTTGCTCTGTACACGCGTCGCATGCACGGGTGGGCGTTCGGGGAAGCGGCGGACGAGCTCATTGAGGAACTCTTTGGTGCTGATTTGGAGGTGGAATGGGTAACCGCAATTCTTAACGCAGATGTCGAGGAGCTATGCAGTAGTGAGCCATGTAGCGCCTAGAGCGGGGCGACGTAGCCGTACATTGAGCGCGAGGAGAGCGACATTCTGGTTGCGGTGGTTGACGTAGTTTACTATCGAAACGGCTGCTTCTCGCGGGCTGCCAAGTCGTGAGCTTTTGTGACATGACCATCAAAGCATGTGTCCGTACGCGGAGCCTTTCTTGCTGTTGATCAGGTCCGAGATCTCGAGATTCAGCGCGAGGTTGGGCTCAAAGTTTTGCGGGTCGCATGCTGACACTATGCCACAACGTATCAGTTTGTGTCCGCGGTAGCTTTGTCGTGGGCCACTCACGTATGAAGCGTTGTAGTTGCGATGTTGGTGCCTCGCCGAATGCGCCGTAACGATCTCGCGCCGCCATTCGCGCGGATGCTGCCTCCATCGCGCCGCCGTAACCGGGTTCGATGTGGCTCACAAAAGCTTGGAGATCGGCGTAGTCTGAGGGAATTTGGGGGGTAATGACAGGGTGCCAAGCTATGAATACGTTGGGTGTGAGAGGTGAAGGTACTCGCATGAATACGTGGGGCTCGAAAGCAGCTTGGCGCTCATACTACGTCAAGGCGTCTTCCCCGAGACGCTCAAGCATTTCCCCTGTACAAGGTAATGTTCAACGATGAAAATCACATTTAAGAGCCATGCATATTGTACCTAACAGTGGTCAATATACCTAGGATCATCGTTTGTTATCGCGTTTTCACGTTTTCACGTTTTCGTTGTGAAGCACTATGTAATGGTAGATTTCAAGTGAGATTTGATTGTTCCAACTCCTCCTGTCAGCACTATCCGTCGTTGGTATTCTTTGCTCGTAGTTCTCCTACCACCTAGGACCGCCTAGCAAGGTCCCCACCCAACTCTCAAATCTGCCAAAAGTCCTTGACCAAGTACGCAGTGTATCCAGTCAACGTTGCAAGCACCACCTGTGTCCCGATATGCCCGACAGGTCGGCCGATGCCCACTCCGTCCTTTGCCATAAGTCCAAGTTCGGAGTGAGCAACACGGAGTGCGAGGAGAACACCGAGGGCGTAGTTGATGAACTTCCTGCTTAACTATCAGCATGCAATTGGGGTGCAATGAATACAGCGAACCATACCGGTTTGCTCCGTTGAGTTCGGCCAGCAATGAGATACTGAGGATCAACGGGACATTCTCGGCAAAGTTGATCTGAGCACGCGACGCTACATAGAGAGGGTCTTTGCCTCCTTCTTTAGAATCGGATCTATCGCCCAATACTCTGCAATGGTTGTTAGCAACCAAGTTCGGCTGTTTAAAGCTCATTCGACAGCGAGCAAAGGACGCACGTTTCGGTGGCAAAGCGTTGGAGAACTATTCGGTTCTGCAGGAACATGTAGTATGCAGCAAACGGAACGGCCCAGGTTGCTGTCGCAGGCGCCAGGAGAGGCATTGGGATACCGAGACCGAGCTTGGTAGTCATTCTGGTGAAAACAGGTGATTGATTAAGGGATAACTCTGTACTTCGGTTTGTTGGATTGATGGAAGCTTCTTGTTGGGCTGGGACGAGAAGCGTAGGAGAATGGTGCTTTCGATAGCTCTGAAGAATGTCGTCACTAGTTAGGAACTTAGCGTATTTTGCGATCACTTCAAAGAGCCAATGTCTGGGAGCTAATGTGACATTGAATAATGAGCTGGGTAGCTGTCAAATACAAACAAGTAGTGTACACATTATAGCTTGTGTAAACACTGACACAACCGCTGCTCCTATGCCGGGAGCTCGAACACTGAAACTGTTTCCAAAATTAGTCTGTATGGCCTTCGAAAAATGACTTTTTCAATGACGGACAGGAACACAAGCACTTACAACCCCAAATGCGCCCAAATATGTTCTACAACCGGCCACCAAAGTGCACGTACACAATCGATCACCGGTTCTGCGCAGATGGTCAGCTTCAACTTGCTCTTAGACAATAAGTGATCAGTGATAAGACGAACAGGCTTCATATGTTCAGCATCGTTTTCCCTGTTGTCCTCCCGAACCTCTTTCAGCATCTTGTCGATACCTCGCTCTTGCAAGCCTTTCTGTCATTAAAGTCAGACGTAGCTTCTCAGCCAAGGCAAATCAACATACTGATAAACACTGCTCATATTTCTCGAATATCGGTTTGCACTCGTCGGTTGTTGCAGTTCCTCTCAAGAACTCTAGACTGGTGTGAGTAGTAGACATGTGATATGACAATGGCAAAGCTTACTTTCGCTGTACCATTTGAGAAAACAGTTGTCGTATCGCCTGCTTGAGGTTCAGTAATCAAACATTTAAAGCAGAAGAAGACGTCTTCCGTACTCCTTGACTTCATTGCATTCGGGCGCCAACGACGCTGACATTATTGATAAATTGGGTGAATTGTAGTCCAGGCCGAAAACAGGGCAGGAAGAGACAGGTGAAGGTCGCCTTAATTAGCTCTTATCGATAAACCCCGACACGCTAGTTCGAGAAATGTTCTTTCTTTCTTCGAACCTCGCGACGGCGCATTCTCACCTCCTCCACATCGCCTACCTACATCAACGCGAGGCACTGCATTGGGATCGAAATCACAAATCACGCTAGGATAATGCGCCATCGTTAAACACGTCATGGATTCCTTCAAGACGCTTCAAGACGAGATCTCGAAAGCCCTTGTCTCAACTACGCGCTCTGCTACACGCATCAGCAGTGCCGACATACCCTTCCAGCGATCGCTCAATCCCGAAGTTGGCACTGCGCTCGATAGCCAAAATGCGCGCCTCCTCCATCTCGCGCAGCGCCTTCTCCAAAATGCTGCAGCGAGTTCGGACGCTGTAGGTCCAAAGCTACCCGACGTCGAAGCCATAGACGCCAATTGGAGGGGGGTTGTTGATGTTATCGACAGCTTGCTTGAGAAGGCCGACACCAGTCTTGATGAGTACACTGGAGTAGTCCGGCGCCTGAGTCCGAGTGCGGAGCAGGTACGCAATCCAGTCATGTCAGGCAGAATCTGTTCTCTAACCCATACACAGGCTGCAGTGAAACCTCGTCCAAACATTGCCGAAAGGAAGATCATCGCCAAGCCGCAGCTTACATTTGAACACGTACCAACAAACGACGACAAGGGCGGCTTTCGCCCGCTGATAACATCGAAGCCACACGCCAAGGTTCCCATCGAAGACTGCCTGAAGACCTTCAAGGACTACAAGAACCGGGAGCAGTACGTCGGCCGTATAGTCATCTCATACAACTACTTACCGTCCCACAGATACCCGCACCCCTATCAAGCTGAAATCGAATCCTACGAATACCCGTCATTCCTTTACCAACATGCCGAGCCACAGCAATATCCACCTTTCGAATCCACTACCGCCACATTCGTCGACACGCCTGAAGCGTTAGCCGTTATGTTAGAAGAACTAAAGACCGCGAAGGAGATTGCCATCGATTTGGAACACCACGACAACAGATCATACATCGGCATGGTGTCGTTGATGCAGATCAGCACACGGGATAAGGACTGGATAGTGGATACACTGAAACCATGGAGACGGAAGTTGGAGTGTCTCAATGAAGTCTTCGCGGATCCCAACATCCTAAAGGTTTTGCACGGTGCTTTCATGGACATAATATGGCTCCAGCGTGATCTGGGACTATACGTTGTAGGACTGTTTGATACGTTCCACGCCGCACGGTCGCTCGGGTATCCAGCCGCAAGCTTAGCTTATCTTCTCGAACGATTCATAAACTTCAAAGCTCAGAAGCAGTACCAGCTTGCGGACTGGCGGATTCGACCACTCGGCCCAGAGCTTTTCGAATATGCGCGAGCAGACACGCATTTCCTCTTGTACATTTTCGACAACATGCGGAATGAGCTTGTCGAGAAGTCGGACTTCTCGGATTCTGAACGAAACAAGGTCCAGGACGTCCTTACCAAATCGAAAGAAACAGCACTACAACGATACGAGCACCCAGTATACGACAACAAACTAGGCCTTGGACCTGTCGGCTGGTACAAGCTGATCTCGCGAACGCCCGTTCAATTCACGTCTCAGCAATTCTCTGTTTTTAGAGCAGTACACCAATGGAGAGATGCCTTGAGTCGAAAGGAAGACGAAAGCCCCTTCTTTATCATGCCAAATCATGCTGTGTTTTCCGTCTCTCGAGCACTGCCAGCAGATAAACCAGCGCTCTTGCTAGCTATACAGCATGTTTCGCATATCATGCGGGCACGAGCAGACGAGCTTTTAGGTGTCATCGCAGAAGCGAAGAAGGACGGCGTGAATGGCCCGGAGCTGAATGACGTGCTCAAGACGATTGCAGACATGAGAGAAGCTGACATTGTTCGATCTGAGGCGCAAATCCCCAAGAAGGTGATACAAGCGTCTCCAACCCCCGCACTCCAACAAACTATACTATCAAGTACCGTCGCCATACCAGCACTTCGTGCTTCCGCTTCCGATTTCTGGGGCAAACTCTGGCAGGGGAGCCCAACTGCTCAAGAACGGTCTATGCCAATAGTCGACATCGACCTTGCTCTTCCTCTGCCACCTTTAACTGCAGAAATCTTCGCCGATACGAACCAAGTCATTGAGCAAGCTACGTTAAAAGCCGAGCAGTCCCAGCACACCTTTGTTCCCAAGGAGGACCGACCTCAAGAAGACCAGCGAACTGATATCTTCGTCGTCAAACAGCTAGGCGGTCGCAAGCGAAAGCGCGCAGAAGACCAGTCCCCAACCCTAGATCCCATGACCAATGACGAAATATCCCTGGACCCAGCAGCTGTGGACAAAGAATCCGAGGAAGCAGCCGCCAAACAGGAGAAGGCTGCCAGGAAAGCAGCAAAGAAACTGAAGAAGCGCGAACAAGCCGCACAGGCCGCTGCACTAAACGACAACGACGAGCCTGCGTTCGATTATGCAAATGCGCCGACAATACTCCATGCAAACGACAACGATGGCAAGAAGAAGAAGGACAAAAAAGAAAAGAAGAAGAAGGCTCCAGGATTCAATCCTTTTGGGGGTCTTACAGATGCGCCAAAAGGATTGCCGAGGGCGCAGAAGGAGATTGCAGGGAGGAGCCGGACGTTCAAGTCTTAGTGGTGATGAATTGCTTGACTTGTATTATACCTGCATTGCGATGCCGTTCTTCCTAGATGCGACGGTGGCATGGATTTCATTTGACTCCTGAGAAGGGAGATCATCATTACCTAATCGAACCTGGGGTCTGACACAGCGATGTGATCGAAGACTCCTTACGTTAAAAACATAAATCCAACAAGCTATGTTCAAACCAACCCTCAATTTTGATACTTGCAAGTTGAAGCATCGTTTCCGGCATTATTTGTACTAATATTGTGAACCCCTCATCCCGTTGAATTGCCACACAATCACTAAAGGTAGATATGAGACAGAGGTTATGCAATAAACCATGCCCCACTCGAACTAGGATCGACCCTGCGTTTGCCAAGTCGATGGTTGAACATCAATTGCTAGGTAATGAGGCTGCGGGAGCATGGTCCTACAATGATATTCGAGCTAGTTCTGATTGGTGCGTTTTCCCCGCGATGGTCAGCTGTTCGCGTTCCATATCTGCCGTAAACCGTGCTCATGGGGCTGCTCTTGCATTGTTTTGGACTCTGTAGTTAGCCAGCGACGTCATTTGATCGAGAACCAACCATTTCACTCCCCCTCGTGCTCGTACACTACCTACACGTCCAACGCTGCCTTTCCTCGCACACACTCAAACGAACGTTATCAAACAACTACCACCAAACAGTCACAATGTCCAAGAACGCGCCCACTCTGATCAATCTGCCACCCCCGCCGTCGGATCCAATGACACCTAGCGAAGTCCCGTAAGGCAGTTGTTCCTGAAGCAATGCATCTTGGACACGCAAGCTAACCAAGCGTTTCTAGGGGCACCCCAAACTCGGCAACTACGTCCATGTCTGAGCTCTCCACGGTCGCTATCAAAGACGGACACCGTGGTCACTTCCCCCATCACCAGAACCCCGCCGACGCCGAGCGCGCCGATCGCATCTCACGCTTGGCAGGTCTTGAGCGAGTTGCTGTCTCTGGCCGCACGCCTCAAGGTCTTGGTCCAGGAAGCGCGCACAACCCGCCTCCGGGCTATTTCGACTCGAACAACCAGCCCCAAATCTTTCGCGAGCGCAGCACCGTTGGTAGTGCTAGCGCAACTGGAAGTGTAGGAGGTCGAACCACCTGGGCCAGTGGTAGCGATGTGAATGATCCCGATCGCATGAGCGAGGACCAAGACGTGGAGACGTCGAGCATGGGAGGATTTAGTGACGAGGCCGCCTCTCTGGTTGGATTTGGAGAAGGAGCAAGGACGCCAGCTCGACAACTCAGTCAGCTTGGCAGCCCTGCTGTTGGCAAGGCGAGTGCAATGCCTGGATATTTGAGGGATCAAGCACCAACCAGCCCCATGACGGGTGTCAGTGTTCCCTCCAGCTCAGGAACCGCACAAACCAACGCCAATGACACCTTGGCTGATACCACCGACCGCACTACACCGCCGACGTCTAGCCGTGGGCCCGGCAAGTCCTCGACCGCAGAGCAAGTCATTCTTGAGCGCATGAAACAGCGTCAAGGCGGTCAGGACTTCATGGACTACAGGTATGAGCAACAGAAGGAGGAGTAGAAGATGCGAATTTTCTCAACTTGACATAGCTGCAACGGGCGTTTGGGCGGGTTAATCGAAAGCCAAAATAACATACTTGATCAAGTCTCAAAGTTCAAGATAGAAGTTTAAGGCGGTCTTGAAGGAAATCACTTGGCCAGCTACTCTTATGAATTCACGGGTCTTCTACATTTCTATAAAGTACGTGACTGGGTATTGTGAATCGCAGCGTGGACTTGTTTGTTATGCACGATCTAGCGTGTCCACGATTGGTCTAGCGTACTTTGGGTTCGCTTACAGCACACTCGAAATTGGCCATGTGAGGTCCGTTCGACCACCAGCTCCTCGACAACCACCCGGAAATCGACACGGAAATCAGTCGCCATGGCCAGTATGTCTATGCTGTCGCTTGGAATCTTCCAGGCTCTGCTAATACGAGACTTTAGAGTCAAAGAACTCGTCCCAGCATAATCAGTCGAAGAAGAACCACAGGAACGGGTACGCCTCCCTCTATTTTTGATGCTGCACGCGCGCGAGCAGCCCGGTCGTCGCCTACCCTCCCTCACACACACACATCGATGCACGCTGCAGGAATGCGATGGCTGATAGATTGGGACTGCAGTATCAAGAAGCCTAAGACGCACCGTTACCCATCGCTCAAGGGTACCGACCCCAAGTTCCGCAGGAACCACAGGCATGCTCTTCACGGCACCATGCGCGCTCTGGTGCGTTCTCCTCGACATCGACACGATGACACGCGGTCCGCTAACAGCCGTACAGAAGGAGGTCAAGGAGGGCAAGCGCGACGCGGCATAGAGGACGATCGATTACGAGCGAGCGAGCGACAAGGGCGGTTTCCGGTTCCTTCATGAGTCATCTGGTCGGCGTCAATGGCATTCGGACTTTCTATGACAGCTTCGAGCTCATAGGTGGATGGTTCCACAACATATGCATAAGATGCAGCAATGAATAAAGTCGAAAAGTCAGCCTCGGGTTCCCGAACGCGCCATCGCTCCAGTGATGAACTGCGATGATGCAACCATTGCATTCGCTATAGTAAGTGATTGAGAGAAAGGGGCTCAGACCTCGAGAGAAACGGCATTAGTGTGTACAGCAACAGAACTTCTCCATGTTCGACCTGCTGAAGGAAAATCTTCGTGCCAAGATCAACCCACCCCATCATTACCAAACACACTGCCTTTTTCCCTGTAGGGCAAGTGTGCATGAAGATGGGGTTACATATGTTTCGGTGTCTTTTGGATTTTGTGAGCATCACGATCTCTGGATTGGAGTCTTTTGTTTCACAGTCCGAACTTGGTATGTTTACTTATCACTTTCAAACAGTTGTAGATACAATACAAACTATCATATGCGAGCTTCAACGTTACGTCTTTGAGGTGATGATGTCTTACACGTGTGGATGGAGTTGGCGGGGTAGGTCTCCGAGCTCCAACCTCCAACCTCTCTCCATCCCACACTCACTCACCACTCCGCCGATCACACGACGGGTATACACTCTGGCTGACGGCTGTTCTAACTCTTGTGCCGCTCGCAGTGAAGGCTTCCGGAACAAAAGAAACAGCATCAACCCTCTCCAGTGCCTACCCGTGTCTGCGCAGCCAACTCACAACTGAACATCTTGATAGCTCTCTGCACCTTGAAACATCCACAACCTCACATCTCATAACTCTCCTTCTCTACCGTCCACTTTCCCCCGAACGCGCAGTGTCCTTGTCTTCCTAAACCAACCCCCCAAAATGGCCACCCAAGCCCACTGCGCATTCTGCTTCGAAACGCTCGTAGCCAGCCTCGAAAAACGCCCCTCCCTCACCCTCCCCCAAGTCGAAGCCCTCTGGTCAAAATACAACACCGACCCAACAACCACCTCGCCCACCGACGCCCTCGCCACGCCCCCCTCAACCAGCTCCTCCTCCACCCTCGCCAGCGCAGCCTCCAGCCAAAGCAGCCTCGCTTCCACAGACCAGCCCGCGCACCCGCTCTTCGTAACCTGGTCCACGGTCTCCAAGTCCGGCGCGCACAACCTACGCGGCTGCATCGGCACCTTCGAGCCGCTAGCCCTCGATGACGGCCTGCGCAGCTACGCCATGACCTCGTACGTGCCACATCCCCAAGTATATTTCTTGCTAACGCTAATATAATACGCAGCGCCTTCGACGACACACGCTTCAACCCCATCACCACGCGCGAACTCCCCACACTAACCTGCGCCGTCACTCTCCTAACTGACTTCGAGCCCGCAGCCCACCCACTGGACTGGATCGTCGGCACGCATGGCATCCGCATTTCGTTCTCGCACGGGGGGCGGCGGTATGGGTCGACGTATTTGCCTAGTATTGCGGAGGAGCAGGGGTGGAGTCGCGAGGAGGCGGTGGTTAGTTTGATGAGGAAGGCGGGGTGGAGGGGCAGGGGGGAGGAGTG